AAAGCTGACTCACAAGATGCAGATAATAATATCATAATATCAGAGTTCATGAATCAATCATATTAAGCTTGTTAACCTGGCTTTTCAGATCTATTTGAATAATCAATTCTCTGAGAAAAAGGTCAATAAGATCTCTTCTAAGCAATCAATAATGAGATCTAAACAGTATTATGATGACTTCAGTGTGAAGAAAGTAAAGAAGAATTTCAAGTGTTCTGATTCTTCACTCACTGTGAAGAAATATTAAAAAAGATTTGATAAAGATCTCTGTTTCAACTGTGAAGCTGGTGATCACTATGTCAGTGATTGTAAGAAGCTGAAGAAGGAAAGAAACTGAGAAGATATCTTTTCAAAGTTGACTTCTCTTCTAGCAAATATATCTGTGAAAGATAAAGAAGAGAAAGAAAAGAATTAACAATTCTCACATCTTCAAGTTCATGTTACAATCACAATACATATTCTGAATGAGAAGATATCAGTGAGATGTCTACTCAACTTCAGAATGAATATTAACTTCATATTCTATTTCTTTTCTTTGATGAAGAATTGAAAGAAGATAGATCTGTCAGATCATGTGAAATTTACTAATGAAATAAAATGCCATCATTTTGACATAATTCAAGCAAAGTGTGTGATCACAGACTCAGAAGAAACCTCTAAGAAGAGCAGTCTGCTTCTTCACACAGTCAATATCATAGATGAGAATGTCATTCTAGGTCTTCTGTGATTGAGAGAAAACAATTCTCTCATTGACTGAGTCACTCAGATGTGATGGTACTGCCTTACTGATGAAGAGACAGTGATAGAGAAATCTGAAGAGTTTCATTGAAAGAATCTTGAGAAAAAGATTGAGTCAATATACTGTGTAGCAGGTGATTGAGACTTGAGAACAGGTGAAGAAGTCATCACTCTCACTGCAAGATTAGCAGCAGTATTCATTATTGAAGGTGAATGTACATGACATCTCTTTACAGATTTTAAGAATGTCTTTTCAGAAAGAGAAGCAGCAAAGTTTCCTGATATCAAGATGTAATATAAGATTCATCTTGAAGACAGTACAACAGTGCTGTACAGGCCTCTTTACAACTTGTCTATAAAGGAGTTGAATGTTCTGTGCAAATATCTTGAAGAAGTGCAATCAAAGAACTGAATACATTTATCAAAGAGTTCAGCAGAAGCATCTATACTCTTTGTACTTAAGAAGAATGATAGGCTACACCTATGTGTAGACTACAGAGGTCTCAATAAGATGACAGTTAAGAATTACTATTCATTATCATTAATTGACAAGATAATTGATTGATTATCTGAAGCAAAGATATTCTCAAAGATTGATATACAGAATATCTATCATAGAATCAGAGTTAATGAAGATGATGTTTGAAAAACAGCTTTTTGTACCAAGTACAGCAATTTTGAATATCTTGTTTTATCTTTTGATCTTTGTAACACTTCAGCCATCTTTCAGATCTATATAAATGAGGTGCTGTGAGGCCTTGTCAACATCTCCTGCATAGTATACCTGAACAACATTTTAATCTTCTTGAAATCAGAGAAAGAACATGATATTCATGTTCAAGAAGTGTTGAGTCACTTGAGACAGTATCAACTCTATACAAACACTGAAAAATGCTCATTCTACATGCAGGAGATTGATTTCTTAGATTATATTATTGAGATGAATGACATTTCAATGAACAGGAGCTGAGTCTTCATCATTGAGAACTGGCTGACACTGCAAATGTACCGCGAGGTGCAGATGTTTCTAGAATTTGTGAATTTCTACAGACAATTCATCTATGCATATTCACAGATTACTGCCCTCCTTACAGATCTGTTGAAGAGAAGTGTGAAAGACAGAAAAATGAGACTGTTTATTCTCACTCAAGGTGCCGCGCAGGCATTTGTGAAATTGAAACAAGCTTTCACAGATGTCACAATGCTGAATCATTTTAACTCTGACTTATTCAGTCAGTGTGAGACTGATGCATTCAGAAATAAGATCTGTGAAATCTTTTCACAGTTAACACTGAAGATCTTTCAACATTGAAAGGATCAGAAGATAATCATCTCTGAGAAAATAGACAATGAATTGTCTGTGAGAGAAGACTTTTTCATAGAGTCTATAAGATACTATGAATGAAGATCAGTGATCTTCTTCTTCAAGAAGTTATCACTCATGCAGAGAAGATATGATATTCATAATTAAAAGATGTTAGCAATTATTGAATTCTTTAAGATCTGATGACATTATCTTCAGAATAGTAAGTACTCAGTGCAAGTTCTCACTGATCATGCAAATCTGTATTACTTCTTGACAACAAAGAGCTTGACAGAATGTCAAGCCAGATAAGCAGAGCTGCTTTCAGAGTATGATTTCTATATCTGATACTGTTCAGGTTGGCTTAACCCTGCTGACATGCTGTCTAGACAGCCTGATTATAATATCATTGATGTGAAGAAGGATTCTATAAAAGAACCTCTGTCATCACTGTAAAAGAAGCTGGCTGCAGGGAGTTGAGGTTCTCTAAAGCTTGAAAACAGTGCTGGAGAGGCAGCTGCATGACTCAGTATAGAAGATGAAAGAGAATCTGAGTCCTTATGAAAGACTGACACTGAAGATCATGAGCTTCTCATGTCATATCTTACAATTATTGAATTGATAAAGAATAAAATGATCTACAATCTTTCAATCTGACTACTTTTAAAATTCATTGATAAGTTACAGAAGAGGGACATCTCTACTGCAGCTTGAATTTAAAAGTTGAAGAAGAAAGAATTCAGTTTGAACTTGAAAGAGACAGATTCTGTGTGAGATGATACTGCTAAGAAATCAAGTTACTGATAACTAGGAGAATGTGAACTTCTACTGCTGAATGATTCAGTCTTCATCCCTTATAGCAGGACAGTGTGTCAGGAGTTATTGAGAATTTATTATAATGATTCTCATACAGGGCACTTTGAGTTAGAGAAGACTGAGAAGCTTCTAAAATATAAATATACTTGAGACAAGCTTCAGACAGATGTCAAAGAGTATATTAAGACTTATAATATCTGTTAAAGAATAAAGATTCTGCAGTATAAGTAATACAGTGAGTTGATATCACTGTCTGTTTTAAAGAATCTATGACAGAATCTATTAATGAATTTCATAGTTAATCTGCTGAAGTCAACAAGAGTCAAAGAATATGACTTGATTTTGATTATTGTTGATCACTTCATGAAGATGATCAGATATATTTCTACTTATAAAAAGATTAAAGCCTCTGAATTGACTGACCTGTTTTTAGATATCATCATTTATGATCACAGTGCTTTAAAATCATTGATAACAGATTGAGAATCTCTCTTTATCAGCAAATACTGATTAGCTTTTTATTATCATCTTATAATAAGATGTCTTCTCAGTATTACATTTCATTCACAGACTGATAGTCAGACTGAATGTCAGAATTAAACACTAGAACAGCATCTTCAAGTGTTCTGTTTATATCATTAGAATGATTGATTCAAATATCTTCTAATTACTGAATTTACATATAACAATGTAAAGAATGTAATCTTAAAGATATCTTCTTTCTATACTTATTATGAATATAATTCTTCATTACTCAGTGATGTCATAGATGATGTTTCAAAGAGAGAAATAGACAGTCAGAATATTGAACAGATACAGAGAATGAAGTATTTCTCAGTATCAGAAGTAAAAGTGAGATTGAAACTTTTGAATAAAATTCATAAGAAGGCAGTGAAAAGCATTCACTGTACTCAGAAGTGATAAATGAAATACTATAATTAAAAACATCTTCTGATGAAGTTCTTAATAGAGAATTAAGTGCTACTTTTAGCAAAGAATATCAAGATAATAAGACTATGTAAGAAGCTCAGTGAGTGATGACTAGAATCTTTTCTAATAATAAGAGTGATAAGTAAGTAGACATATGAGTTAAAATTATTCACAGAATTGAAATCAATTCATTCTGTTTTTCACATTTTCTATTTAAAGCTCTATAAGCAATACTCTGAGATGAAGCTGTCTTGACTGAATAATATAGAGATTGAGAGTGATACTGAATATCTTATGAAGAAAATATTGAATAAGTGAATATATTACAGCAAGCTTTAATATCTTGTTAAATAAGAAGATTATTCATTATCAGAGAATTTGTGAGAACTGCTTGAGTATTTGAAAAATACTGAGAAAGAGATTGCAAGCTATGAGACAGCTAGTAGAGACTGCTCTGTTACATATCAGAGATATTGAGTAAGAAATGCTGCTTAAGACTTCTTGTTTTTCTTAAAGAGTTTTTTAGAGATAATCTTATAATAATGAGCTGATGTCTTGTAGACTCTGTAGCACTCTTCTTCTATTTTCTCTCAAAGAGTTTTTAGAAGTTTAATGAGACTACACAAGTGTAAAATTCCTGAAGCAGTTAGAGAGAAGAAATATTTGAAATTAATAAAAAAGATTAATATTAATCAATCTGCAGATCACTACTATTCTAGTGAGACTGCAGCTCACTGAAAAAGTAAAAAGAAGGAATTTCAGAGTCTACTTATTAACAATTACATTCTCATCAAACTCATTCTTTACTATTAAAGTCTTCAGTATCAGCATCTTTATCTGCTGAGAAGTTAGTGCTGCAGCACTGCAGAAGAGTATGAGAAATATATAAAATATCAACTTATCAACTTACAAAGTATCTCAGTTATCTACTTCAGTTAAAGTGAGATTCTCTTCAATCAGTAATTGATCTCTGTGACACTTTCAATGACAGTGCTGACTGATCTCTTCTTAAGATCAGTCATTCTGAGGTGTTTTTTTATCTCAGAGATTCACACTTTTGTCTTCTTTTACAGATGAGTAAGAAGAATCTTCTCAGTCTTGATGAAATTCATCAATACTTAAAGCTCTGAGACTCTTGCTCTGTACTGCTTGAGCATCTGAGCTTCTTATCAGAGCTGATATAATGCCTTCTTGTAGAGTAGATAATACTTACAGAGAGATAGAAGTCATTGTTACAGATGCAATGAAAACAATGAGAGTGAGAGAAGAGATAGATGCACAGAATCCCTCTCTTCTTCAGCTGCTTAGTGCAGTGTAGACAAGTAATGATGCCAGTCAGAGACTGCACTGAAGCCTTCTCACAGAGAGAAGATGAAGAAATCACAGAACTCTGCAGACTCAATTTAGCAGCATTCTGAGCAGGGCTCAGGTGTGCTGCAGAAGGGGAACTACAGATTGAGCTCCTTAAAGTCACTGTCCCTGAAACCAAGCTCTTCCCAAGTTCCTCTCTGAATGACCACACAGGGTCATATGTCACTGTATTGACTGGGGGGGGGGGCAGCGTTGTAACAGCGGTGGGGGGGGCAGAGGATGAAATGAATATGAATGAACTGACTGGCAGAAGGAATGACACCCCACTGCAAGGTGTGACAACTACCACCACGGCCGCAAAAGAAGCAGGAGAAGGAGGTGTGACAATGAGAGTGATGCTCCCGCAGCTCATTGATACCGCTGTCTCTGCCTTCAACCTGGCTTTCTTGGCGGCCACGGAGGCTGCCGCCGCACCACAAAGACATTTACTCACTAGAAAATGTCAGAATAAGTCCTCTACTGTCCTTCAAGAATGATACTCCCATGCACTCACTATTACAGATGGGGAAGAGAGAAGAAAAATGTGTCATAAGAGAAGAAAATCTTTTTAAAAAAATCCTGTCACTACTGTTAGCTTTGTTCCTAAAATACATCACTTTTGCAGAGAATTTCATACATAGAATAGAATATATTGAGAGATCTGTAAGTCACTTATTAACTATGTTTTTCACATTTCAAATCAATATATAAGAAACCCACTTATCACATGTTTGATTTGAATAAAGATGGAAAAAGAAAGATCTATACAGTCAGCAGAAAAACTCATCTATTTCTTTATATCACATGCAGTACATGTACTGTCAATCACTTAGTAATCATTGCTATACAACAAAGATAATTTCTAATTCAGTAATCTTGAGAGCATAGAGACTATACTCTTAAAGAGAAGAGTATTGTCATACTCTCAGCTGTATCAAGACTCTGTTGCAGTTTCACACAGCTCATCACTTTCATGCAGATGATTTCATCTCATCTGAACCAGTTTTCAACTACTCTATGACATTATTTGAATATATCATAGAAAGATTTAATTGATGAATATGAGAACTCTGCTTCTATATAAGATCAGCAGATTACTCTTTCTTAGCAATAAGATATTGCTGAGATATCACTTCAGTTATTCTCACTCATGAAATAAGAGAAGAGTATTCACTCATTGTCTATATAGAATAGCTAGATGCTGACTTCTTATCAAAGAAGTCAGTGATTCATTTTACTTTAACTGAAATATACACAAGAGTTACTATGTGTCTCATACAAATCTTCTTAGTATACTAAGTATCATATCTGTGATATCCTCACAATAACTCTGTAGTCTATGAGCTCGCTATTCAAGTAAGATAGTCAAGCCCACTTATACAGCTTCTCAAACAACTACCTCTATGTGTCGCTGCTGACTAGCCACCGCTTTGATTCTGTCACGTTACACTTTGTACATAGTAAAACTCATAATAATTTCTTCTAAGAACAGAAAAATCAGTATCAAAAAGAAAAGATGAAAAAGAAAAAGACTTATAATCTTAACACTGTTGAGAGAGAGAGTGATTCTCTGATATAAATAAATAATTATTTTATCATAAATATTTAAAATGAATATAATAATCAGTGTCTGTGACTGAGCTTCAGATAGTTGTATTATATACAGTCTTTATATAATAAATCATTCTAGAAGTCAGTAAGAAAGACAGAAGTATACATACTGATAAACATGATTTATTAAGTCTATATAATATCTTCTTAAAATGAGAAGAGCTGATAATAGAAGCAGAGACAGTAAAATCAGAAGTAGTACAAGTAAGAGTTATGAGAACAGAGATAGTAGAAGCAGAAGAATCAGATACAGAGATAAGTATAGAAGATTAAGAGAGTGCAGCAGAGAAAGAAGAAGTAGAAGAGATAGAGAAGAATACAGAAGATCTGATCACACATGATATAAATAATTTCTTTATTATTATATTCTTCAAGTTCTCAATCAATAATTCAATATTGAATTCACTATTATCAGTGAATATAAATCTGTCAATATGTGAAGATTCTATATAAATAACAACAAATATATCAGTATCTATATTTATATAAAATCATATCAGAAAACATAATCAGAAACTCACTAAGAAAAAAATAATTAAGAGTGTATAAGAAGATAAAGAAGATATGTTATTTATAATAATACATTCTGATTATTATTATTATTATTCTTCAATTATAGATGTATACAGTCAGAGACTATGACATCTACCTGAGAACTTTTAGTTTCCAGGCTTTTTCCTATATCTGTAAAGTTAACTATTATACATTCATCAATTTCAGATATGCAAAATCAGAAAATTCCAGCTCAGAATACAAAAACTGTTTACAAATTGCAGTGTTTTAACATCTTTTAATACTTTGAAATCATTTGACAATATCATGACAAAGGAAAAGAGAAAAAGAACACAGTCTCAAAGATAGACACATTAAATAGATAGATAGAAAGAAATTGAAAGAAAAAGATAAAGAAAAAGATAAAGTAAAGAGAGACTATAACAAAACAAATTATTAAAAGAGAGTGTATAACTGTTTTAACAGACTATATCTGATTGATTTCCTTCTCTTCATATTCAGATAATTCTGAATTTAGCCATTTTCTTGTAGCTGCTTGAGTTTCTGATAGAAAGTCTATTAAGTATTTAATTTCTGTCTCAGTTGAGAATAAGAATCTCATATTTAATTGATTTAGATTATACTTCTCTTTCAATCTGACTCTGAGACTATTATATAATGCACAGTGTATTATAATATGCTTAGAATTCTCATTTATATTACAGAATGAGCATTCTATTGAGTCAAATCTATCATCAAATCTTTGTATATAAGATTTGAAATAGTCATATTCTAGTTTCAGCTGTATTATAGATGAGAATATTTTCTTTTTATATTTAATTAAACAAGATTTTCACTTGAGTTTTGTTTCAAATCTTGAATAATGTATACTCTTCTTTTATTTCTGTCAGCTTTCATTTCACTTATCTAAACAAGATTCTTTTATTTTTCTCTTTATAAAAGATCAGAATATAATTTTTTGAATAGATCTGCTTAATTCTGCACTCTTTTTTACAGCTGAATCAGTCAATTCATTATCATGAATATTCATATGAGCAGAAACTCAGTGCAGATGAATTATCAGCTTTGATATTCTTCTCTTTTGAATTTTCAAAACAGAGTTTAAAATCAGTTCAAGATTCATTTGATTATTATAAATCTGACTATTTCTAAGTCTTTTTAAAGCAGCTTGACTATCAGAGAATATTCATATCTCTTTTAAATAATTTTCTCTTTTATGAGATTTTATTTCAATGAGTTTGAAAGCTTTCACTATTACAAATAGTTCAGTATCAAAGACTTTACATTCAGAGTCTAGATTTCAGAAATCTGAGATAAAATTAATATTATCTTCAGTATAAGCAATGTCTGCATTTAATCTATTCAAGTTCTCATTTTTTAAGTCATCTGAATAAATCAGAATAGAGTCTTTTATATTAATTATAGAAATTCTCTTCAAATGCTGTTTATATTCTTTCTCTTTTAATAGTTCACTTATTTATAAGTCTATAAGAGATTCAAGCTTTTCTCTTCAGAGAGATAACTTCTCATGATCAACTTTTTCAACATTTAAAGAAGAAAATTGATTTTTAATCAGAGAGTATAGTCTGTACAGTTGAGAAGACATTTTCTTTGAAGAATTATTTTCATTTCAATCAAGAAATCTATTTCAATCCAGTTCATTTTCAGAGTTAATTGATGAAAATGAAGAAGAGACTCTTTCTCTGATTATATGATTTGAGCTCATCTTTACAACTCTCAGAGCATAGTTTATACAGGCGTTTTCAAATCTAATAGCAGAAGGAGGAATTAAAGCTTCAATTTCCATTGCTTTAATAGAAGATGATTTGAATACTCCCAGAACTACGGGCGCTAGCCACCCGCAGGATGCACCTTAAGCTAATTACATTTAACCCCCTATAATTAACCGACCACCGCGTCCGTCCTCTCGGGCCAGCCACTAATTTCCAGGGGTGTTAGTTAGTGGCTGCCACTGCTCACTTGGTACACATCAAGCTTCCGGTTGCTGATCTCGGCCCCATTAGATGCTCATAGGCCTATCAATCAGCTGTCGTGGCCTTGCCCTGTGTTAGAGACTAATCATAGACTCGATGACTGCAGTTCTCCCTGCCAGTATTGGGGCTTGGCAGGGAGCTTGCAGGCTCTAGCCTATCAGAGTGCCCTGCCTAGGGCCTAGATGCGTGTCTAGGCCTGCTAGTCAGATGGTTTTCAAAATCATTCTCTGTATTTGAGGGGGAGCTAGGCTCCGATGACAGCTCTAGTTAGAGACTTGCTTAAGTAGTGTATAATCACTACATTAGGCTTGACTCTATATTGTTAGAACCTTGACAGGTGCACAGTAGAATAGTGAGACATTGACACTTCATACCAGCTCTGATAAGTGTTTGCAGAATCTTGCTTAACTAGTGACTTGGCTTGCAGTAGAGAGTTCTACCCTGTATCAAGTCTTACTAATTAGGCTCAGCCTCTATTACATGGGGGCTTTCATGGATAAGAAGTGGCAGGTGTCAGCAGTGGGATTCGAACCCATACACCTCTAATGTGTGCGGCCTTGGTTATCAGTCTTATCAACTGAGCCACGCTGGCAATACATTCTGATAATTATTAGAAGATAAACAAGTTATGATCATGTTTTACATTATATTACACTTACTGCTAATAAACTGCTTAGTATGAACACTATGATAACACTTATTATAAGAATGAGAGATCATTGCTAGAAACACATACAATATAATACATAGACAGATAGAAAAGAGTTAAATAGAAGAAGAAGTAGAAATCTTGAATAAGATAATAATAATATTCAATGATAATGATGATAAAGAAGATAATTGAAGAATGAAAGTTAGTAAATAAGTAATATAATATAGTGAAAGTTTCTTTATAAGAGTGTACACAGAACACTAGCTGAATCAGAAATAGATTACAAGATTATGAATACTAGTGACATGCTAATCTGTATAAAGCTAGAATGAATATTATAATTATGTAAGTATGACTGAATCTGATGAGAGAGAATATGATTCAGAAGAATGTATAACTGTTGAATAATAACACAGTCACTTTCA